AAATTTATTTTTTAAATGATCTTGATTGTCAACTGAATGCAAATTGGTTTGAAGTGATCTGTTCCAGGTCCATTAAGATCTGTTGGAGGCCTGTGTTGATATGTTTATTAACTAATTTATCGCACTTTACAGCAAAACGTATGCAGGATGTTTCTGGGAAAGAGCAACTTGTATTACTCAATAACATTTCAAAGAATATTATGTTTATAGCTGTCCGGTTCACAAAAGCTTATGTTTTATAAACAGTTTAATAAACTAACCTGGAAAAGGTCTGATCCATCGGTAGCAATGAAAACAACTAAAATACATGAAGATTACATACCCGGTTTGGAAGATTTCATTTGGGATAATGGAAGACTAACCTATGTAGAAACAAATGAGTAAAGTAAAAAGAATAATATGATATTATATGTTACATAATTATGATTAAATTCCAGTATGTTTTAGTTTAAAGATATATATATTTAGATACAGGAAGATTTGAAACAACATATATGGTACAAAAAACATGAGGATTTTTTAAAAAAAGAAAAGGAACACCAGCACCAAGGATACCATAAAAATTAATTCTCTAATTTTTATTGTTGTCCCTTGTGTCGGTGACATGACATATCATAGAGTGTCTTTATAAATACTTTAAATTAAATATTATCACAGTTACTTAGATTGGAGTTATTTTAACATAGACTAGAATTATAATGTATCACATTATCAAGCTAACACAGAATAAATAAACTATGAAGCAAATGATACAATCAATAAGCAATGGACATTTTGTATTTTACCTTAAAATAAACTTCGAGAAAACAAAATCATTATTCCGTAATAAAGTTCACTATATCGCAGTCACAAACCATTACAGACCTATGGCTAAAACATTTGGCAAAATGCCGAAACGTAACTTAAAAAAACGAAAGAATGAGAATTTAAAAAAATGGGTATCACTTAGACCAAAAAAATGCATCAATATATATCAATTGTTTTAAATGATTAACGGAATGAGTTAAAACCACTCCTGTACCTGAAACTATCTGATGTAAATTTAAAAAAAAACCTTCTTAAAATGTATTGAAAAATTACAGGTACTTCTTAACAAATACCTTGAAATAATGTAACCTGTCAATGCTAGATGATTCAGCTCGCAAACTGTTTATCAACGAACAACCAACAAAGCAGAAAGACTTGGAACAAACCTTTGACCTTTGGGATTGCAAATGCACCCTTGTTACTTAACCTGGTCCTGTAAAAATGAACAGTGTCCTGTCGGCTGAAGTATTCGTCCCGGACCATTTTTACTTTAAGAACATCAGGAAGTATGGTCTGGTCTACACATTTATTTATTGGTAACCTGCTGTGTGAGCGAAAGGGATTTGGATCAATATGTGAATTGGCATAAAAATCAAGTACAAACCTAATCAGCTTAATCTGACTTACTTGAATTTTATTTTAAAGGAACAAGGTCAGGCCGGATACCATATAAAGTATAATAAACATCAGCAATCAATATGATATTGGATTAAAGACATGGCTTGATGTTTCTTAGTATGTTGAGTAAGGTAATCCTTTCTGCGATATAAATATTAAAACGTGCATTAGCTTTCTGAAACACAGACCTATTCATTACATTAAAGTTTAATGATTGATCAATGGCTGCTCCAAGATATATCAACGATGAAATGGTTCAATAGCTACATCATTACTTTTAATATTAAGGAATGAGTTAGACCTAAGTCTATGTTAAGACCAAATAAGATTGACGCTGTCTTGCCTAAATGTAGTAATTATCCTCTCATTATCCACCAGCCACTGGCTTACAAGATGCAAATCATCTTCCAACATCAGCCTAACAGTTACCTGAAACCAGAATTCCTGAGTCATCTGCGTATAATAATTATAATCTTTTTTTACTACATCTGAAATATCAATAACATATATAAAAAGAGGATCAATGATTGACTCTTGTGGAACAACAAATGTTATCCGAGTAGCAGATGTATGTGTTCATGAAACATCATAAAGTTGCTTTCAATCAGAAAAATATGATCGAAACCATCTCAATTTATCATCACCACTACCAGTCGCACGTATTTTCATAAGACATAACATATTTTATATTCAACATAAAATTGTTTTCATACAAATAATAGTCAAACAGCTCAAATGTAATGAAGTGAGAAGTGTTATAAGGTAGTATTTCCTACATAAAGTAATTTAATAGAGAACTTTTGTAGAAAAGCATTACACGGTTATTAACATTTTAAACTGATTTTGTGAATAACACAAATATGAATCAATTAATTTAAGCTGACAAAATATTACATAAATATACTTACACATGTCAAAATAATGAAAGATAAGTTACCGTTGCAGTATCTGATGGACAAATTGGGAGCAATTAATATTAATGGGATTTACAATGTAGGTTTTCAATATTTTTACTATCATAATATCCAAACACTTCAGACAAATTCTACCATTATATCAGTTTTCATTATCTAAAATCTTTAAATGGTTAGTTAAATACAGCAGAGAAGACAATTAATGTTGAGCAAGATATTTTGTGTCAGTTGTACAGAAATATACGCCAAAATATTTAGGCTTTTAACGTTTGGCCGTAAAATGTAACTTAAACGTGAAATGTCTGCCTAATTCAAATATCATTTTCTTAGTCTAAGTTGTGTGAAGGTTATATTCCATGTTGGTCAATACGTACTTAAATCATTTAACATTGACTGTAATGCATAAGGTGTATTGGCAAATGAGTAGAGAATATTGAATGAGTGTAGATTTGATACAAAATTTGTATCTTAGTTTGGGAGTTAAATCGTACACATATACATGCACAGTGCGTTAACTGGATTGCAGGTATAAGTTACCCGCACTCCAGAGCATGCTCATTGATAGGCTCATTTTGACTGGGCTTGACTGAAAGCAACAGAAATATCATATTCAGATGCTCGTTCATTTGTTCCTTTTTCTGGGGTTTCATATTGTGACAACAAGGAACGTGTTTTTATGTTTGACTATGATACAAAAGAGGAAGAACATCAAAGCACTCGGAAATCTGATTAATACTCGGGGGCTACGCCCTCTTGTACAAATCCGATAGCCTAGTGTTTCTATGCTCTTTCTATTCTTTATTGGACAAGTTGAATTAAATCATATCATGCGAGCCTCTAATATCTCTAATATGACAGAATATTACATCCGTGTAGATTAAAACAAACTTATTGAACTCCTTAATAGAAATACTTTGCTCGCCAGAGGCTCGTTTAAAACGACTTTATTCAAGTCTTTCAAAAACTCCAGTATCTAATCTGCACTCATTTTATATCGTCTATATCACCAGCAAATAGTAATACATGTATAAAAATCTTTAGGTGAATTTACAGCAAAAAGTCCGTCAATGTTATGAATTGTGTCGATTACTAAAATGAACTGTAGAGTTACTATGTTTTGTACCATGTCCTAGTTAAAAGTCGACAATATCTATGTATTATACTGTACCGCTCCTTTTAGGCTGCTGTACAAAATTTCAACTGCTTTTCAAATTTTGCGATTGCATTTTCCTGAATAAGTTTTTGAAAATAGAAAGAGCCCTATAATTTATCAAAACACTTTACAAAGCCTACAAACTAAGTAAAACGTATTTTTATCGGACATTTCTTTATCTAATCTCAAACACCATGTTCGACCAAAACCAACGCAATCAGTTGACGAGGCGCACTTATTAGGGTTACATGGAATCAGTCAATGCTTTACTAAAACAATATAATGTAAATTCATTAATATATATAATGAATTACAAAAAATATATGTAGTCTTCTGCTATTATTACCTTTATACATGTATAAATAGCTTGATTAACACATGTCACAGGCAAGAATAGTTTCATATCTTGTACATGTTCCAGTTATTACTTTGTGAAAGACACGTCAAAGCCAATAGTTATATCTTGACTTTCATTCAAACAGAGAATTGATTGTATATTTGCTACCGAATCTGTTCGCTAGAAAAAACGTGTATTCGTAGCATGCAAGAAATATACATCTAAATGGCACATTTCTCAAACTATTTTTTCGAAATATTGGACTAACGGAATTATGTTAAGACGTGTATAGATATACAGTATCTAAATTCGAAATACAAACTTAATAAAAATTGATAATTGGTCTGCGAATTATTAGTGTTATAGTGGTCTTTTTTCTTTTTAAGGTATGAACTCAACATTCTTTATCAAATGGTATTTTTTATTAGTGATTATGTGTATCAAAGTTATACCCATGTTTTTTATGCCTCTTCCGCGTCACCGCCGTTATATATTGGAACAGTAAATTCCAATTCCTACTCACTTGGATACTCTTCGATGATAAACATCCTTGTAGAAAATGCAAACATAAGTTTAGATGTTTAATGAAATGATATTTATTATATATTTCTGATATAATTGTGTATAGTCAACTTTTTATATTACTGTTTTGTGAACATACTGCTTTTTCCGAAATACATAAATCTTTGTGTAAATTTTCATTTATACTAGTTGTTTGTTGTCTCTTTGCTATATGGTATTTTAAAATATTCATATAGATCTTGGGTTGTTAAGGTATCAGCTCTTCTTGCATTTCTTTAAAATTGTATGATTCTATGGTAAATATCAATAAATTATATTATTCCTACATAAGCTTATAACCAATGAAAACCATTTCCAATAACACATAGTTTTTTAAAAAAAACATAAAAGGGAATGTGATTTCTTTGGGAGGATTTGAAATGTTTAACAAAACGTTTGTTAGTAAAAAAGTGTCAAAATAATGTCCCAAAATGCTACGGAGAACTACTCAGGCTAAAAAGGAACCAAGATTTACTTAAAATAAATCTTTTTTTCTTATATTCAACAATCGTGAAAATAAATATCGAAATGTCTTAGCAAACAAACAATATTTAAGCCAATTTGTATAAACTATACAAATTGTATAATATATCATTTCCATTTATTACAGATTCGTACAAATAGGAGTATTGGAAGCCGAATTCGACAGGTAATTTTGCTTTTTGCTATTTCCTCTGTGAATTGAATGATTATGCTCCATATTTAAACTTTATATTAGAAATATGACAATGTGAACTAGAACAAATCGAAATAAGTTATATTGACCTTTCAGCACAATTCAAGTTAATGTATATAATTGTAAAAAAAAAAAATGTTGCAAAATAATTTACGGAAAAACTGTCTATCTTAATTGTATTGCAGACAACTTCATATTTTCATTTCAGATGTAGAAAACAACTATTTAGTGAGTTACAAAAGACACATGACAGGTATGTAAACGTTTATTTGCCGGTTCCTTTTTAGTTCAAAGATGTTTGATGCCTTTGTATTAACTTAACATGTTACATCTTAGTCACTCGCTAGAAGTATATATAACAAGGAGAAAAAATAAGATCGATTTATGAGACGGCAAGACATTAATGGATATTTGTATATATTTCAACCCCATTTTTTTTCTTTTCCATGAATGCCGTTTCTTTGAAAGAAACAATAATTGTGTAAATAATTGTCTTGGATTTAATGAAGAGTACTGATCAATTAATTTTATGATAATGAAAACATAGTATAGGAAAGGTCTTTGGTATCCTTAGTAAGCTATTATACTAATGAAAAACTATATCATTTTGAATCAGTATCAACGTTCTTAATCCTGTACCTCATATTTACGCGAACCAACGCACTTTCGAAAAAAATGTCCTGTTTGGGCCCAAAATACATGTTTTCGTTTGAGAAATGTTGATAAAAAGTGAACACTTTTTCGGCGCGGCCTCAACCCAACAGATACATCAAGGGGTTGCCAGAATGGGGATGTGCTCCCTTCTGTTTTGGGGGGTTTGAAGGGGGCGGCAGTCCCCCTATTCGCCAAGACAATTTTGGGCTTGCGAGAGGCTAAACATGACCCAGATCGATCATAAGGTAACGTGAAACCAGCGCTGAAAATCATTTGACTCTATCGCAATCCATTGAGAAGTTGCATCACTTTGAAATGAATTTTGTTGGAAAATCAACGCAAAATTTTTTGATTTTTGGCAATTTTGATATGTCCCCTCGTTGCCATAGTAACAGGAAATTTAAGCCTGAGCATGTTGTAACAAAAGCAATGGTCCAGTCAACATGTGTGCCAAGTTTGATTAGTATTAAAGCAGTGTTTATAGTTTTATAGCAATTTGAACTTGTAACGGGAGACTTTTCAATGAAAACAGCTATTTTTGCACAAAATGCTCATGAAGTAATGGGTAAAGTCCTTTATCTTTATATGTATTGAGGGTAAGTTTATTGTAAATTACACATTATATGTATATCTAGAATATTAAACAGGATTCGTTAATTGAAATATCATATATGTGAAGATAAAATAAGCTTCTTCATTTTTATTATCATTATTATTATGTTATTACCTAAAAGGATTGCCGACCTAGATAAAGAAGTTGATAAGAAGAGTGGCATTATTGTCAGCCTAAAAAGGAAAATTGCTATGGACATCGCCCGCAAAAAAGATCAGTAAGCAAATCAAATTTTATATTTCAAACATAAAGATAATACACTAAATACAAATCATTTCTTGATTAACAATGATAAAAAAACACTCTTGCATTTTTAACCATAAACAACTTCTCTAGCTTATAAATTGACAACTTGTATTTGTTCAAATTGTTACACAAATAAATTGACGCAACATAGGAATTTCATTTATATTTGTGGACATATCAAATGCGGCACAGTTGGTCATTAGAAAAAAAATCAACGTTCACGAAATGCAGTCATATACTTAACCGCTTACATTGAACTTCTTAAATGTTTACATTTGCCACAGGACAGAAACAGCGAAAAACCGAAACTACTATTAAACATATATGTGTACTATAATGGATGCATTTTTCGGACATTTTGTTACTGAACATTTCAAATTTCATATACATGTTTATATCATATTTCGATGTATCGATTTAAAGCATTTTAACTCCACTGATACTTTAATTTGGTTATGTTGTTACAGATTGAGCGCGCTAAAACTTGAATACAGTGAGAAAGATGGAGAAAATATCCGGCTGAGAAAAGAAATGCTCACCTTATATGAGTATGTGTATATCAATTATCTTGCAATTGTTGAAATTTGCTATACAGCGATGATAGATAAGTTTAGATTTAAGAAATAATCGGCTCTCAGTGATGCTAATCGGTTTGACGTTGGATACTTGGGAGATCTCAAGAAGTTTAGTTTTAACTAATTTCTTTTTCGAATCGTATTTGAAATGTGATTAAAAGCCAATGAAATAGCTAAGATCGATATTATTCTAACATGACTACAGAAAAGTAACTAAGGGTGATCGCTAACCTTACTTTTTCTAAGAGGTATTATATTGTCATACTTGCATGTTACATTTCGCAGGTTTCTGTCGCCTGTTTAGAACCTGAATGATATATAAGAGGAATTTTATTATAACTAAAAAATATTTAGTTCCTGTTCATATATATTTTAACATTTTGTCAACACTTTAAACGTACATGTTAGACTGGATTTCCTAAAGTATACACTGTTGCTAAATAACCCCTACTCCCCATGTTAAATAAATGACATGGTTCTTTTCTTCTGCGTGTAAAGTGACAAAAGTATTGCTCATGATTAATGACAAGAGCGCCGCATGCGGTGTTTACGATCACCTATTAAGGGCAAGGACTTTTAATAACCAATTTCTATCATTATTCAAGTAATATATATTGAAAAAAAGGAAATTCCCAACAATAATGTCGCAAAATTAATGCCATTTCATCGTACAACTGCAACCAGTGATAAAAAAAAAAGTTCTTTGTTTCGTGTTGATACCTTTTAAATATCTGAATATTGGATAATATTAATTGTTTTGTACAACAGCAACGATGACAACGACGACGCGGAGACCATACTCACTCGACTTTTTAAAACGTTGGAATTCAAAATAAAGAAAATAAGAATCCATAAAGAAAGCCCAACACAGCAAAATTGAAAATATTGCAGACTTGGTTTGATTGAGTCTGTTCAAGGACGGTAATGTAACGTGCAAACTACCGTCATTCAGCAGTGGAACAAATAGACTTTCAGTGCCAAAATTAGTGATAAAAATCTAGTAGTAAAATTATTTGTGCATGTAATTTGTCATTCTTTTACGTTGACATCTTATCTTTCTTTATAGGGAAATTAAATATCTCCAGACTTTAAATGTTGCACATAAAAAGAATATCGAACGGCTCAACGATCCCATTAAGAAAATGAATATTGACATAAAAAAAATTAAGCTGTAAACATAGAAAGGAAACAGAACAACTTTTATATGAATTAAATGAGAGAAGACATACATTCACATGTAAGGAAAACGAAATCAAAGTTAGACGTACTGAACTGGAGTATCAAATTGATACATTGGAAACAGAGAAACGTAAATTTGGCGAAATTGTGAATCTAAACATTATATTAGAAATATGGCAATGTGAAGTAGGACAAATCGAAATAAGTTATATTGACCTTTTAGCACAATTCCAGTTAATGTATATTTTTGTAAAGACCTTATATTTGCAATATAATTTACGGAAAAACAGTATATGTTTATCATATTGAAGGCATTTTCCTATTTACATTTCAGATGCAAAGATCAACTAGTTGGAGAAATAAAAAATGCAAATGACAGGTATGTAAACAATTATTTGCCAGTTCCCTTTTAGTTCACAAATAGTTATTGCCTTTGTTTTAAATCAACATGTTACTTTCTAGTCACTCGCTAGGAGAATACATAACAAGGAGAAAAAAGTAAGATTTTATCAACAAATCAATTCATGAAACGGCAAGACCTTAATGGAAATTTGTATACATTTTAACCCATATTCATACTTTTTCTTTTCCATGAATACCGTTTATTTGAAAGAACAAAAAATGGGTGTATGATTTTTTTGGCTGTAATGTAGGGTACTTATCACAACTTCTATGGTAATGAAAACATTTCCATAGCATAGAAAAGGTCTTTGGTATCCTGGGTAATAAATTATACAAATTAAAAAATGTATCATTTTGAATCAGTATCAGTGTTCTTTAGTCCTCCATCTTTATATGTATCGAGGGTAAATTGATTGTTTATTACACATTGTAGGAATATTGAATATATTAAACAAGAGTTAATTTAAATATTATTATTATTATTAGTAGTAGTAGTAGTAGTAGTAGTAGAAGTATTATTATTATTATTATTATTATTATTATTATTATTATTATTATTATTATTATTATAACGATGTATTATTATGTTTTTAACTAAAAGGATTGCCGTCCTAAATAAAGAAGTTAAAAAGAAGAGTGACATTATTGTCGACCTAAAAAGGGAAATAAGCGAACAGAAAGATACTTTTGCTGAGAACATCGCCAGCAAAGAAGAAAAGTACGCAAATTTTATGTTTCAAATATAAAAGAGAATACACTTATATAAAAGAGAATACACTAAATACAAATCATTTGTTGAGTGATAATAATAAAAAAACACTCTCGCATTTTTTTACCATAATCATATAGCTTATAAATTGACATTTTGTATTTGTTCAAATGGTTTCACAAATAAATTGACGCAAAAAAGGAAGTTAACTTTTCTTTGTGGACATATATAAAGCGGCAAAGATGGTAAGCAGACAAAATAAATCAACGTTCAAGAAATACAGCCATGTAAATAACCACTTACATTAAAGTGCTTAAATGTTTACATTGGTCACGGGACAGGAACAGCGAAAAAAACGAAACTACTTTAAAACATATTTTTGTACTACAAATGAACTTGCTTTTTGACAGTGATCTAAAACGGTGCAATTTTTCGGTCTTTTTGTTAGTTAACATTTCAACTTTCATATACATATGTGTTCACTGTCTCGATTTTAATCAATTTAACTCCTATGATACATTTATTTTGTTATGTTGTTACAGGTTGAGGATATTATCAATTGAACTGAATGAGAAGCATGAAATAAATAACGTGCTGAAAAAAGAGAATGACACGTTACAAGAAAATTATAAAAAGTAAGTGTATATTAAGTGTCTTGCAATTTTATATTTGCTATACGGGGATGATAAAGAAGTTTAGATTTAAGAATTAATTCGGCCCTCAGTGATGCTTATCTGTTTGACTTTTGATACGTGGGAGACCTCAAGATGTTAACCACGAAAGTCGTAGTTCTAATTCATTACTTTTTCGCATAGTGTTTGAAATGTGATAAAAAGCCAATGAAATTGCTAAGATCTATATATTTTTTATTTCAACATGACTACAGAAAAGTAAATAAGGAAGATCACTAACCCTACTTTTTCGTTGAGGTTTTAGATTGTCACCTTTTCATGTCATTTTTCACAGTTTTCTTTCACCTGTTTGGCATAAGAAGAATTGATTATAACTGAAATGTTTATTTCCTCTTCCTGTATATTTTCCGCATTTTATCAACACTTACATATACTTATATATATTCTTTATCTGAGTCTCATCCATACATAACAACATAAAACAATTCAATGACATAATTTTACAAAGTAAAAGTTATTTATGTACGGCCATTCTTATCAGAATTACAAGAGACTATAAAATTTTAATCTAATGGAAGGGAGGCAACTCTGCAAGAATGTCCGATGTCACTTACAGAGTTACCTCTCTTTTCATTCCATATTCACATGCATATTACAATTTAAAATTGCTAAAATAAGAAACTATTGCTAATCTTGCTCTAAAATACTTAAAGTGTTTCTGGTATTATTGCTTTACAGTAAAAATCCTTAAAATGTTCTCTTCCTTAAACCCGTAAAATTACACAGAATGTCACAGGGTCAATTTGTCTTTGCTAGAATACTCTGTAATTCATACCCATACTCTATATCATTCCCCTATCGTCTCTTTTTCAATCATTCATATCATTATTCAACTTCATACTAATAACTTCATTTGACCTGTAACACGTTGACGGGCCTCATTCACTTCATTTTTGAATTCGGTCACGCTAACCTTTACGCATGCGCACAAGAAATGAGAACTTTTAGCGAGAGCTGTTGTTTTTCATTGACTCCGTATTCTATTTTATTGTGTGCCAACAATATATTTACAGGTATATTTGAGGTTATGAAACATTGTAAACATGAATTACTATGATATGTGTATGTATTTCGCTTGGAATTATCAATAGCAAAGAAATGAGAACTTTTAGCGAGAGCTGTTGTTTTTCATTGACTCTGTATTCTATTTTATTGTGTGCCAACAATATATTTACAGGTTCCTCTTTGACCGCCCTATCCTCCCTAGTGAGAACTCACGTATATCCGTGACATTTGGTGGCCAGTGTTACATTTGGGACGTTTTGGTGCGAAACAGTTGAGGACGAACTCAGTTCGGGTGGATTGTCTCCCCGCTTGTATCAGCCAATGAGAATTGGGAAACCCTTCTTACGTCACATAGTGAATGTCAACAAGGAATTCCGTCCATCATGTTGTATCGAAAATTTTATATTTTGTTTTAACAATCAAATGAAAGCTTTCTAAAGTAAATATAGGCCTCTTTATTTAATATACAGTACTCTACATTGAAACACTAGTGCATAAACTCAACAGACCAGGATTTCTTTATTTTTCAACGTTGGATTCTACCTCTGGACATTTTGTTTACATTTTTATTGGAAGGAGATTACAGTGATAAACATTGACTTGAATGACATTAATTAGTGATTTAACCTTTAGATAGATTTATTTATATAACATTTCTTAAAATCCTTTGTAGTTACCATCTAAGAATTGTTCATTGTATATTTTTCTCACTGTCATAGATTTCTACAGTTATTGTTTATATTTGACAGGTTGTTTGGCATTGAAGTTGTGTATTGTGTGGAAGTCAACCATGGAACTGTGCACTGCATTAACAGAATAACAGATTTCATTGCATTAATACATTTTCATTTTGGTAACTGGTGATTGGTGAGATAACCCTTTCATATCTTTCTTCTGGTCCCTGATACTATACTCTAGAAGCCATTTCTTTCCATTTTACCATCTGTATTGTCTTATTATTACTATACTCCTGTAAGACATCCCCACTTTAACAGTCCACTTTATTAAAAAGCTTGTGACATACTTTTGTACTATTACCTAATAAAAAAAAAAAAAAAAAGAATTTCATCTTTGTTGGAAGAAATTTAATTTTGACAGCTTTATTAATTTATTAATCTTTTGGTGGCTCACGTACACTTCATAAAATTTATGTGTCTTTGGAAAATGTTTTGTATTAGGTGCCTGAATATGAAAAAGTCAGTAATGTAGTCTTGTAGTGTAATGATAGTTTAGTTCAACTTGTTGGTACTTCTGTCATAACAGTGAAAGCCTAATAAATATCAAAATACAAGAAATACTATAAAATAATTGACATTTTATCACAGGGATTAGATACTCCTTTGATAAAATCTCTTATATTATTTAAATATTCTAGTCCGTGTATAAAATTGTTCCATTTATTTAAAATTGAACTGTTTTTGAAATAAAAACAAAACATTTTACAATTGCGGTGTACTTGCAGTGACAATTGTATTTTGTTTAGACTTTTCTCGGGTTTTTGAATGCAGTTATCTGGAGAAGATTGGAAATTGAAGTAATTTTCCGCAACTATTTGGACCAGGTATTATAGTGTGGTACAATTGAATCCTTGTTGTTGTGAATTTTACAGTACTGGTTTAGCCAGGAAAGTACATGAAACATTGTGCACTAGTTTGAATTAAATCAAGTGATTATTGAAGACATTTGGGAATAGCAGTCATATGAAAGTAGTGTGTGCTTATATTGTCTTCATTGTTATTTGAATTTCCCTTGTAAATTGTTTGGTAGGTGAAATCCATTCAATTTTATTACAAGTTGGATACAGTACTGGACTTGATATTTATATATTGCATACATTCTCACATTGGAAAACTATAGAAGTTAGTACAGTGTAAAGGAATTACCAGCATTGAATATAGGTTAGGTGATTGCATTTACAGACATTTAATTGGTGCACATAAAAGCTGCAAATTTGAAAGTTTATTTATGTGTTATTTATTTTGTTTGTAATTTCTATGGTGTACAATATGGGACATCATTTTTGTGTGTTTTAATTATTCATTTACTGAAGGCCTGAATTGTCTTTTGTAAATAAAATTCATCTGGTGTGTAAATTCTGCTAGATATACATATTACCATTACAAATTTCAGTTGCCATATTTGTGTATGGTGTACAATGTATGCCATCTTGTGAACAAAAATTTATTTTTGTGTATTACTTTGAGTTTATCTATTTTCATTTGAAAGTTTTTATTTGGAATAATATTTCAAGTAAAAAGTGCCCTTCATTTTATTTATTTTGATCAGTCTAAGTTGTTGTTGTTGATTTGTTGACACGTTATGTCAGTAATTATCAATATGGATAATGACGATACCACACCTAGAGGAAAAGATAGTCGTGATGAGTTAGATCTTGAGTATTGTTTGAGACGTGTTTTGAGTTCTGGTTATACTGTTGATACAGTGCAACCTAGAACTGATAGACGTTCACTCTCCACTGATGCTGATCCTGATACACATACACCTATTAGGGAGTACCGACATAGACATCGTGATCGTTCTCCTCCTGTGTTATCTCCTCATAGGTTGCATTCTATTCATGAATAAAGGAGTTATGTCAGCTTGCTAACATCGCTAAGTCTAGGACTACGCCTTATCATCCCCAGGGTAACGGAATGCCTGAAAGGTTCAACCAGACACTTCTGAATATGCTAGGTACTTTGGAGGATAAGAAAAAGCTGAATTGGAAAGCTCATGTGCCAGCTCTTGTACATGCATACAACTCAACTCGGCATGAGACGACAGGTCTGACACCACATTTTCTTATGTTTGGGCGCCATCCTCGCCTTGCATTAGACGCTTTCCTCGGGATCGACCCAGACATCTCTTTCCACACCAAGAAGCCAGCTGAATTTGTTGAAGGCTTAAGGAAGCGCTTGAATTTCGCTTACAGAGTTGCTAGTCGTGAGGCGAGACGTCAAGCGAAACGGCACAAGAAGCGTTACAATCTTCGTGTTCGGGAAGTACGTCTTGTTCCAGGTGACCGTGTATTAGTGAGAAACGTTGGGTTAAAAGGCAAGTGTAAGTTAGCTGATCGTTGGAGTAAAACTATCTACATTGTAGTTGATCAGCCTAACCTAGATTTACCTATATTTCAGGTTAAGCCGGAAGATAGTGATGATGCACCAAAGTTACTTCACCGTAATATGCTACTTCCGTTCATGGGTCTCCCGCTACAGGAACCGAAACGACTGTCACATCACTCTCCCAGTAATGGTAATTTTCAGCAAAATTCTCCTGTCAATTCTCTTTCCTTTTCAGACACAGCAGCACCTAAACCTTCTGAGTCTTCGAGTACTTCCATTAAAACCTCTATTTCAGACAATCCATCAGTCGTATCCGCGGAATCTGATAAGTATGTTATTCCTGCAAGACGGCCAGGAAATAGTTTGTTAAGACCGGAAGCTCCACCTTTTATTCCTCGAAGAACTTCTAGAGTAAGAGAGAAGCCACGCTGGATGACTGATGATTGGAATTTGAGTAGGAAACGGTAGTACAGATTCTCAGACAGATGTCAAATTTGATTTTGTCATTTTTTGTAAATTGTTTAAATTTGTATAAAAGATGAGAACAATAAATTGTTTCAGTTGAGTTTTGTATAATCTTAATTTCAAATTGTCAGTGTTGGTTTACTGATGTTTGAGATTAGTGTTTATTCATATGTGTTATCATATGAATGTAGGGTTTCGTCATATATATTTGTATGTATGGTTTGTATTTAACCGATTTGTAAAATTTCTACAAAGAGATTTGACAAATTTTATTTACTCTGAAAGAGTTACTTTGAATATTGTGTAATGTGAAAACATAACACAAGTTCTACAGTTTTGTAGATGAGTCAGTGTACTAACGTGCATGGTTCACAATCCCAAAGAACGCGTTCACCATTCCCAACAGTG